TAAATAAAAACTGACAATTGTTTCGACAATGCAATATTTACAAACTACCTGCTACTATATATACCGAAAAATGACATTAATACCTTAGTTAATGTTGTGAAAATTTAAGTTTAATAAAGGAGAGGTATTTAAATCTAATTGATCTTTAAGCAATACATTTGAATGTCTCATTTTGTTTATCTCCATGGCTTCCAATAAATTTAATTTTCTACTTTTTATGGCTGTAAGTAAAATATCAAAATTGTCGTCAAAAATGTGTTTTTTTTTTGTGTTTAAGTGTAAGCATAATTAGAATATAGACTATTGTTTTTACACGCTCTTTTATTTTGATTAATGCGTTTCATGAAGGATCTACCTGTTTGTCCAATATATATTATAGGACAAGATACGCAATTCAACCTGTAGACACCTGATTTTTGAGATCTTGGATATTTCGTTTTATTGTTTTTTAAAAATGTTCCCATAGTGTTGTTAGTTCTGAAAACCATTTTTAAACCACATTTTGACAAATGTTTTGAAACTTTTTCACTGTGTTGTTCGTGTTCTGTATTAGGTTTAGGATAAATTGAGATTACTGTTGTCCGGATTTGTTTTTTCTTTATAATTTTATCGATAATGGACGGATTGTAGCAGTTGTTCAGTTCAATTTGTCTAATGATAACAAGTTCTCTGTTGTAAATTTCTGTTGAGAGTGGCGTATTAAGAAATTTGTACATGAAAGCGTGAAATGCAGCCATTTTGTGTGTATAAGGGTGATTTGAGCTGTTATGTATAACTGTGTCCGTGTGTGAAGGTTTATGATAAATGGAAAAATTTTATTTGTTTTGCGTTTTCGTAATAGTTAAGTATGAAAAATTAATACAGTTATTATGTAATGAGTTAATGTAATTTAAAAAAGAATTCAATTGTCTGGCCGTTCCAACAAAGCAAGCAAAGACATCATCCACGTATCTATACCACCACAGAAAACTTTTACTTAAAGGATGTTCTATTCTATGGTGGTATAGATACGTATATGATGTCTTTGCTTGCTTTGGTGGAACGGACAGACAGTAGAATTCTTTTTTAAATTACATTAACTCATTACATAATCGTATAAAATTCAATATAGAGATTGAACAAGATAACTGTATTATTTTTTTAGTCTTAACTATTAAAAAAACGTTCCATTTCAATCTTTTATACACAGACTTCTTAATACGTCACTCTCAACAGAAAATTACAACAAAGAAGTAAACTCTATTCATCCTAAACCTAATACAGAGCACGAACAATTTAAAACAATTACATACATAGGAGAACCCAGTGAAAAAGTTTCTAAACATTTGAAAAAATGTGGTTAAAAAATATCTTGTCCTAAAATGTATATTGGAAGACACGCATTAACGAACATAAAAGAGCGTTTAAAAACAATAGTCTAGATTCTAAATACGTTACACACTTAAACACAGAAAAACACATTTTTGACGACTATTTTGATATTTTACATACAGCCACAAAAAGTAGAAAATTAAAAAAAAAACGACCAATTAGATTTAAACACCTCCCCGTTATTAAACTTAAATTCTCACAACAACATTAATGAAGGTTTTAATGTCATTTTTGTGTTGTGTTGTCGAAACAATGGTCATGTGTCATGTCCAGGATTTTCCCTGGAAGGAAAGAAGAAACAGCTTTTAAAAAAGCTATAAAACAGAGACTCGTTTAATTTTCTACACAATACGACGGACATTATGCTCACTTATTTGGGTCACCGAGTAGAAGTGTCGTTTAAAGTTCGCCTACCGTCAACTTACTGCGAGTTAGGCCGAACTAGGGAAAGCCTTCAACCATATTGAACGTAAAAGTCCAGCGTAATATCGTTCGAAAAGGACCGCCTGTGCCTCGAGTGGCTGGGTGGTAATTTTAAGCGACTTTTAAAAGTTTAGTCGCTAAACGAAATCGTCCATTAGGAAACCCAATCAAAACTTCTTCGCCGATGCGTTGATTTACGCTCTCCCTTACTCACGCGGAAAAAGTTCCTGTCAACTTTAACCGACTTGGGTTGTACGAGAAATTATGCTAACTTCGAGTATTACGATGAAACTCGCGCGCAATGACAAAATTGGGAAAGTTTTGCAATTACGCCAAAAGACCGCCTCGTGGAGGGGCATATTTCGAGGCGGCGGAGAACTAAGAGAAAGTGCAGCAGTTATTAGCAGTATTGTCATAGCTGACACCAATTATTCGATTTATTCTAACTTCTTAAGTTAGCTTTAGTATGCTCTGTTCATAGATATAAGAAAGTGGCCAATTGCTTTTGAATCCAAGGGTGGTCATTAACATACAATGAAACAAGATTAGTACCTAAAATCCGTAATAGAAAATAATTTTATACTTACCTGAGTTTAATATTCCTTGGTTTGCTATACTACTTCCTTTAAGTTTATTAGTAATCATTCTTATTTCGTGTGTAATACAGCGTGTGTTGAATCGTGTGCGAATATGTGCGAGTCTAGTGTATCTCAGGAGATGCTCCCAAATGTAGAAAACACTATTCTATTGAAACCAAGGAAGTTATAAACAATGTTTATTTGTCTCTCATTGAACGTGGTCCCAGCAAGCAAGCATATTTAGAAGAAACGGCCACATTGACGAAAATTCCAACATCAACTGTATGGAAAATCGTGAATAATCCATTTCAGCGGGGAAAAAAAGAAACGATGCTGACATTTTCTCGAGTGTAGATGAAAGTGATCAAGATGTAATACGGCGTAAAGTTTACCGGTTATACGAGGAACAAAGCGTGCCTACATTAGTTATCTTGATGAAAAAGATGAAACCGGTGTTAAATGTGGCAGTGTATTCAAAACATGGGTTTTAGATTCTTTTTTTACCTTGTGAAGAATGAATAGGAAGTACGTAAACTTAAATAATAAATAAAATAAATTTCAATAAGAACCGTTTATTATTTATTTTGTTGTGAGTATGCTATAATAATAATAATAACCATTCCAACAGATAACATGACCAAATTTCACGAAATATTAAATATAAATCACACAATACACAGAGCACGTAAGCGTAATATATTTAAACTGTTTATACATTTTTGCATTTCGACTTCTTCTTTTGTCTACTGCATTTTTTTTCTATAAAAGTCGCTTTAAAAAAATATCGATCGACTCATTCATTCGTTTCTGCATTCTCCATTATTCGCATTTTGTATTCAAACTGACTGGGCAACATCAAACAAAGCAATAATTGGAACGCCTTATCCTTTTGATTTATTGTTTTATTTGGAAAAGGTAAAAAGTTTGAAAAAAAAGTTGCTCCTTAATTTAGATCACCGGCAAAACAGTAATAGTACTAATTATACTAAACTAACCAGAACTAAATGCATGCTAACCCCTAAAATTATATGAAATTGATCATCAAATAAATGCCATCTCTATGTAGAGAAGGTTGTAGGGTGAAAATTGCTAAACGATCGTCAGACAAAAAGAGAGATGGAGAATGTGGCAATTCTGTTAACCTATGGTGAATCTAGAATACAGGGTGTCGAAGACAGTCTTGGTGTAAACCAGAGTACATTGTTGACCTTATAAACTTAAAAAAAGGAAAGTAATTGTTAAGTTGGCAATACGATAAAAGAAAGAAATGAATCATGGGTTTCGCTTCAACAAACTTTATATCGAAATATAAATTGATATTTACATCATTATATCATATTTAACAAACAGTTGACATGCATTCTCCAAACTTATTATTAAAATAATTCAAAAAATACAGCATGCTTCAAACAAAACATAAAAACTGAAGGGAGTATCTCCAACCATTACTGAGATATCGCGTTTCAAATATGGCGGAAGAATAATGTTTTCATTATTTATTTTAAAACGGAAATCAACAATAAAACATTACCGAAATATTAATGTTATGAATACTCACTTTCCGCATTTTTTATTTATTTTTTCAAAATGAGTGAATTAGACTAGCTTTTGTTTTTTGTTTTTGTAGTTTATTGCATTTTTTTTTATAAAAGTGGCTTTAAAAAATATCGATTCACTCATTCATTCATTTTTGCATTCCATTAATCAACTAAATTTGTTATTATCGAACGACTAAATGATCATCAGAGACTAATTGTTTAAATAAATTAATCAAACAGTTGACATATATTCTCAAAACTTATTATTAAAATTAGTCAAAAAATACAGGATATTTCAAACAAAACATAAAAACTGAAAAGAGTATTTATCTCCAACTATTAATGAGATATCGCTTTACAAATATGGCGGAAGAATGGCGGAATAATAATGTTTTTATTATTTATTTTAAAACGCAAATACAACAATAAAACATTACCGAAATATTAATGTTATGAAAACCGACTTTCCGTATTTTTTATTTTTTTTTCAAAAGAGTGAATTAAACTAGCCTTTATTTTTTGTTTTTGTCGTTTATTGCATTTTTTTTAGTAAAAGTGCCTTTAAAAAAATATCGATTCACTCATTCGTTCATTTTTGCATTCCAACGATCAGAGAATAATTTTTTTATTAAATTAATCGTACTTTGCATTCAAACTAACTGGGCAACATCAAATAATGCAATGATAGGAAACGCCTAATGCATTGCTTTTGATTGTATTATCTTATTTGGAAAAGGTGAAAAATTTGACAAAAAATGTAAGTTTTTCCTTAAATCTAGGTAATAGAGATGGTGGTAATCTAATTCAACCGTTATTTTAAACATCCTGTATAAATATATATTCACTTTATCAAACATCTCTATTTAGAGAAGGTTGAAGGTTCGAAGGTTTGTCGGAAACTTTTGCTCTTTTCTCTTGAAAATTGCTAAAGCCATTGTCATCAATAAAGCGACGAAGAGCATAGTGCTAGGCTCATAGGTCCGCGGCCTCAAAACCCGATTCTCTTTTGCTTTTCAATTATTTTTTTTTAATTAAGGGATATACCAAATCAGATAACGTTCGCTGCTTTACACGCTCTAACCGACCTTACCTGATTTTGATATGCCGTGAGTTGGACGCGGACTCTTCCAGTTCAAAATAGGGTGATTAAAAATTTCTTCTTTTCCGTTTGGCTGCTGTAGTTATCACTATTCGCGTCTTGGGGGCAAGTTGGCGCGAAAAATTGAAAACGTTTGTATCAGGCCGACTGCCTTCATCAGCCTCGGCCAAGAAACAACTGAATGAAGTCGCGATGCCCGATGCTTAGCACGACGCTCGGACAGCCCCACAGTTGCCAGATCTATCAGAAAATAGCTAAGGATTCCTTTCTTCGTTTCTTCACTTCGTAGCTAATGTTTTAGTCTTTCGCCAGTTTTTTTTTCTAAAATAGTGTTTTCATAACAGTAATTTTCTGGTAATACTTTGTTAATCTATTTTCGTTTTAAGATAAAAAAGATTATTTTTCCGCCATATTTGTAAGGCGATATCTCAGCAATGGTCGGAAACGTTCTGTACTTTTTGACTAATTCAAATAAGAAAATACATTTTTGAGAATTTATGTGAACTGGTATGTTAAATATAATATACATATCGATTTACTGACAAAATTGATGACAGCTCAATCAATTTAAAGTCGATTTTGCTGTAGGGTTGCCATGATTATGCATACATGAAAATATTTTAGAGTGCGAGTCCTTGGTAAAAAATATTGAGTCCTTCGATGCAGAATTTTCAAGATACAAGGCGTTAAATTTTAAAAAAACATTTTTGTTATTGATTTTTAGATGTTTTCGTATTTGGCCTCGTTTTCGAGGGAAAAAAAATTGCATGGCACTGGCCAAAGCTGGTTTTATTCTAACACAATGTATCTGGAAAACTTTTTATTTCGGGATCTTATATCTTCATAAAATACATATTGTTTTAAGGAATCGTCATTTAAAATATCTCCGCCCATTTTTTGGACACCGAAATGTATGTATTATTTGAAATTGAAACCTGTCAAATTATATTTCTGAATGCTATAGAGTAATAAAATCTCATTATCTGTGCACAGTGATCTCACGAATACTTAATCAACTTTCATTATTGGACATTCATTTGATTGCAAAATTCGTTCAATGTTACTCGCGGTAGGACACTCCTGAAAAGGAAAGAATTTTATTTCCAAATAGTATTAGCTGCATTTTATTAGGTTACCATGATATTAATAAACAGTATACTGAAATTTCGTTTGAAAAAATGATAACATTCTGCGTCATTTGAGGAACTGCCATTTCATCCTTACGTTATAATTACCGAGTCAGTCAATTAGCAAGGGTTAAAAAAATCCCTAGCCATAGATATTGATAAATTTTCCAAGAACAAGTTGGCACTATCGCAGCAAGCTGGTTGTATTTGCGTTGCCATGACAACGTCGTCGGCAAAAGCCTACTATGCATCGAGAGAGAATGGACCTTCGATTAAAAATAAGATTACTCTTGATGGTGCATTACGTTTCTGGAATGATGTCATTTTTGGTTATTTCGTCATTATCGCGTCTCTGTAACTGTCAGTGCCGGTTTTGGCTATGTACCAGATTATATTCTTCAAAATTGACATTGATTTGTTGTAACATTTTATAAACTTTTGCAAGATGCCGATATAATCTGCAATCACGGCTATAGTTTTTAATATCTGGACTTTTTTTCATTTGGAGAAAAATAAAGCTAAAAATTGTTAACGTTATTGAACAAGCTTATTTAAAGAACTAGATAACAGATATGATCGAAAAAGGCAAATGAATATTTTAATGTTGGTTTTAAATGGAAAAAAAATCAAATAAGAGAAAATACCTGATGGATATCCCTCACATTTAGGAAATATGCTTATAGCACCGTATTTATTGTTGAGACTTGGGATTTTAGTAAAAGTTCGTTTTGAAAGAGCTATTGAGGGTTATCGATAGATTATGTTCATAAATATAAGAAAGTGACCAATTGCTTTTGAATGATTATTATCCAAGTGTTCCTAAAGTTTCGGAATTAAAATTCAGGTAAAATTGTGGTCCGTAATAGAAACTAATTTTATACCTATGCCTACCTACCTACCTAATATGCCTTGGTTTTATATATTACTTAGTTTAAATTTATTAGTAATGATTCTTATTTCGTGTGTAATACAGCGTGTGTTGAATCGTGTGCGAATTATGCAAAATATGTGCGAGTCTAGTGTATCTCAGGAGATGCTTCCGCCCCAGTATAGAAAACACTATTCTATTGAGACTAAGGAAGTTATAAACAATGTTTATATGACTCTCTCATTGAACGTGGTGCCAGCAAGCAAGCAAGCATCTTTAGAAGAAACGGCCACATTGACGAAATTTCCAACATCAACTGTATGGAAAATTGTGAATAATCCCATTTCAGCGGGGAAAAAAAGAAGCTGTCATTTTCTCGAATGTATATGAAAGTGATCAATATATAATACGGCGTAAAATTTACCAGTTATACGAGGAACAAAGCGTGTCTACATTAGATATCTTAATTAGGAGGAATCTTTTAAAATTCGGAAATGGCGACTGGAATATCTAGAAAAAATTAGGATTTACAGCGAACAACAAAGGCCAATTATTTACTTGGATGAAACTTGGTTCGACACTTAGAATACCCCGGAAAAGTGTTGGGTTGATCCAGCTGATAAGTTTAAAACAAACGCGCCATCAAAAAGAGATAAAAGAATAACTATTTTGCATGCTGACTCTAAAGATGGTTGGATTCCAAATGGACTTTCTCTGTCTGCGAAAAATATTAAAGATTCTTCTCTGGATTACCATGAAGACACCACCACTGATTTATTTGAAAGTTGATTTAAAAGCAAACTAGTTCCAAACATTCCTTCTAATAGCGTCAATGTAATGGACAATGCAAGTAATAACAGTAGACAGTTGACTAAAACCCCTTCCTCATGTGACACAAAAGCAACAATCCAAACCTACATGTATAATAACGACATTTATTTTCATGAAGATTATACCAAAAAGTAATTAATTGAGGTTCTACAAAGCTTGAACCTACGTCTGTGATAATTATGCAAAAAATCTAGGGCATACAGTTTTAAGGCCACTGTATATTTAATCCCATTGAACATGTTTGGCGTCAACTGAAATCTGCCATTCGTCGTTACAATGTTTTCCCCGTGTAAACTCCAATGTCCTCAAACTTATAGAATCCGAAGTTTTTAACATTCCTCCACAAAGAAAATAGAAAAAGCAGAACAATCGTATATCCATATTACAAATAATAATTAGAAATGATAATGATATATTATGTGAATAATTTTAAGAAATTTAAGTAGGTAATAAAAATAATTTGTAATTTTATTTTAGATTTAAACATAAATACATACATAAATAAATAAATATTGTTTAGTATCTTTCCTAACAAAACCCCAAATAATTAAATTCTAAGCAAAGTACGGACCTGTTCGGCCATATTTCATTCTTACAGCTTGCCCGGGTCTTTCCTTAATTCATATCAGTTAGTCACTTTCTTATATCTATCAACAGATTTTATCAAATCTTCCTATGAACGCAAGCTATCATTCCGGCCTTTTAGGGGATATTCCATGAAAATCATCGACAAAACAGATATTGGTTCGATGGTTAAATGAAAAAGACATTGATTTCCCACGAATGATGAAATATGGAGCATTGTAGAAAAAAGTTATTGAAAAATGAAGTATCGTCAGAGCGGAAAGGGTAATCTAAGAAAATTCGTTTTAATCTAAAAATTAATAAATACATATATTTAGTAATATCTGTATTTAGGAAGTAACATAATTTTGAGAAAAATGGCAAACTGGCCTTAATTGAATACATTACAAACAAGGAATAAATTAAAGATTAATAAAATTATATTAGTAAAGGCTTGACTTTTTAGTTTTTGATGTTATAAAATCCTTTTTGGCCAATTCTATTGTTTTGGGTTTCGGAAATTATGTTACGGAGCGCAACCCTCTTATCTACAGCACAGAACATGTGTAGGTTAGGAATTATTGTTAAAAAAAGTAATATAAGATATACGCTATTTGAAATCAGCGTGACATCACTTCAGAAAAGTAATACGTCATCCTATACCTTCAACGGCTTGTCAGTGTCGACGGAGACTGATTTAATTCGGATAAAATATGGGCCTTGGTCCGATTCTGTGGTTAAAACTTATCGTTGCAGTTGCAACAATACTCGCTGGGGCTGCCTTGGCCATATGTGTTGGCATGATCAGAAAGTAAGTGTTTTTAACAATTTAGTAGACGTATTACGTAACTCTTTGCTTCTCTGTAGGCAGCCTGTTCTTTCGAGAAAATACCAGAACAAGAGTTAACACTGACGCGAATATGAAATAATGCAAAACAAAATTACAAACTGCAGTTTATTGATGTGAAATGGTGTTTTCCCTGGTTTATGTTTCGTTGGAGTTATTATACGTGGTTTCTAGCGACAAGTGCGGGTTTGGACGAGATTTGGATTCGAATATGAAGAGCTTAGAACCTAAAATGATAATATTATTTTATATAGTATCACATATATACAATGCCCATTTACCTGGGGAAGTCTCATGGCTGGAGTTCCCACCCACCTCTGGCTGCTGCTGAACTTTGTCATCGTTCTGAGGGTTCAGTACCGTGAAACCCGGCCGGTTGCACCCAAACGGAATTGAATGACTGGCCTGATTCGGGTTCCTGAAAATTTCCTGAACCCTTTGAATTTTGTCCTGCAGTGGTTTGAACCATCGGTTGGGAGCGAACTGATGCAGAAACTCTATGTAGAGATGATGGTTGCCCAAAATGGTTCTCAATTTACTGTCGAGGTCTCTGTATTCGTTGGGTTTGAGGTTAGGGAAGATTTTCCTCAAAAATTGGGAGAACGGCGAGTCAGTTTGTTGGATTTTGGTTTGTGCTTCGTCATTGTGCTCAGGCAAAGCTGATATAGCAGCCAGCAGTGCCAGGATGACGCAGCAAATTGCCTGGAATTACCCGGTAAATTTAAAAATAGAAAATTAAAATTGTCTTACTCGTTGATTCGGAATGTTCCACATGCCAAGCTTGTTCGTGCACGAAGTGTAACTTAATTTGATTTAGGTCTGAGTTTATATATTTCGAGAAACAGTAACAATACCCCTATATTTTGTGAATATATTATTTCAAATTGACCCGCTTTCGTTTTCAATTGCTTCATCTAAATAATATTCATATACAGTACAGCGAACAAAATATATTAGGCTACACAATGAATTTTAAGGTGTTCTGCCATTCTCGCAAAAAAAATTGAGCTTGTTAAAAATGGAAAAGGGTGAGCAAACTTTACTCATCAGCTTATTCCCCCTCAAAGTGACGTCATCAGAGCCGTTCACACAGTAATTTAAGAAATAAGAGTGATTTCAATTCCTGAGTGGCACACTTCTCTGTCTATAATGCAAGGATGTTGTACAATTCGCTGCCAGAGAATTTGAAAAAAATTTAACATAGAATTTACAAAATACCAATTTTCTGGGTAAAAATATTAAGAGAGGTATACTTAATGTAGAGTAAGGATTTGCCAGGGTCTGCGTGTACAGTTATACGACCAATTTTTGTCTATTATTTTAGATTCAGTCTACTCTATTTTCTCTCGCACAATAATTATTTATGAAATGAAATGTAATTTTGGAAAAAATGTAGTTAATAAAGGACATCTTATGGGTATTATTGTTATATATTATTATCATTATCATTTTCATTTTTATTATTATTATCATTATTTATTATTATTATTATTTGTAACAAATTATGTTGAATTTCTTTTGAAGTGCCCTTAAGTATCGAAGAATTTTTTAGGTGCTCACTTAGAGACTAGAATCAGCTGAAAACTTAATAGGTCCACGAAATACCTCAGGGTTCTCGTAAGTTCCGCTCTTATCATGTCCCAGGAGAACCAATTCAAAAGCTCCGCAAAAGTTAACGAAGTAAAGTCGGCATATATGGAATACCAATTATCTTTATAGTGATAAAATGAAAAGTGTTTTGAAGCAGCCATATTTTATTAATAAATAGCGTGACAGGTACTAAATTAAAACCCAAAACATATTAATATTACAAAAATATTTTTGAAAAATGCATTTTTGCAATTATTTTGTTACATCCACAGATCCATTCTTTTCTTGAGTAAATGCCTTTATTAAATTTCCGTGTATTAACTTTTTTTCTCTGCTTACGCCAGCTCTTATATCTGGTCTACGTATTGCTTTTAATTCTAACCTTTATTAGTTTGAATATTTAAAACATCTCTTCACATTTATTAAATTAATAGTTAATAGTGAATATAAATTTTCACAAAAGCCAATAAACCAGAACACCACACAACTGCGAGAAGAAAATATTTTTTTACATGTTTTATGAGCTCTGCAGAACTGCAGTGCATGTGCACCTGCCGCCCCTGACCCTACATTATTTAAATAAAATTAGTTAAATAGTTCTCTTTATTGAATAAAATCTTCAACGTTAACACAAGCGATGGCTCCGCATACAAAAAATTATCACACACGGATTTTCTGTACAAATAGCAAATAGGAACATGGCTGCCGCCAAAACGTCGAGAGAAATGCTCGCATCTACCACGCAAATTTCAACGGTGGGATTCCTTTGAGAGCTGCATTGATGTAACTGCTAGGCTGCTCCAGATCCTGCAGAACTTCCCTGACTCTAGCGACGACGTCAGGCTTCTTCGAGTCCTGATTGTCAAGCAGTTTCCTAAGGACTATTTTCAGTTGATCGCTGGATGTTCCAGAGGACGAGTCTACCAGAGTCTTCAGCACTGCGTTATTGTACCCCTACAACATTTTTTCGGCTACTGATAGATGGTCTAACCGGCGAAGGCTTTAATACGTACGTTAAATTTGCTAAGACCCAATCTTTTCGCTTCCTTATTAAGGGTGTCGTACAAATTCAGCAAAGTAACGTACGCTCTGGTCGGTGGTATCCTCTTCTGCCTTAGCTGCCGCAACAATTCCAATCCGAAATCTACGTCGTCGAAGTTTTTCGAGAACTGGAGGAATTTGCCTTCCTCGCCGCAATCGTCATCGACTCTAAAAGTGAGAAACGGGAAAGTCGAGCTTGGTAATGATGGTTTCGTTAAGTAACTAACTTATTGGCCAGTTTAAAGAGGTGGGCGAATCCCTTGCCGAAATAGGAATCGATCTCTTTGGCGAAATCGTCCTCTTCTTGGTCAGACAGACTTCTGGCCGCCAGGTGATCATTTGGAGGCTCTAAGAAGTAGTATCTGTCGAAATAGTTCGGTCCGCTGGGTTCCTGCAGTTCTTTGACGAATTCTTGGTACGTTTTTCCTGCAAAATAGAGCGGCAGACGTTACTGGTCAAGTGCATATCTAATTTGGCTGAATTACGGTTTGCGTAATAGGCCTGCGGATTTTCGGGTGCGTAGACCCCGGGCTTATGGGACGGAGTTGGCCTCATGGTGGTGGTGGACGTTGTGGTAGTAGCTATGGAGTAAGGTATAGTTAGGGTTATGCAATTGACCGGTCAATTGGGTCGATTAAAATGGGTTCGATATTATAAGTATCGTGTTCGGATAACCCTTGAGGAGGGTTATAGGTAAATTGAACATCACAAACGCGTAATAATTTATTGTAAAATACATATTATTTCTATTAAATACTGATAAAAAAAATAGTCTACAATTGAGGAGTAGAAGTAACAAAAGGGCTAAGTACCATTTTTTTTTGTAAATTATATTTTTATATAGAAATCTTCTACGTGCCATCATTCACATACAGGATCCGTGATCTGTATATTTTTTGTAACGACACTGTCAAATATTGTAAAGAGCTATTCGAATTGAGTTTTGAACATCGAAAACAAGGAATGAGAAGATCAAGTGGTGAGCAAAGACGACGCAAAAATGCAGGACAAGCCTAAAAAAAGAGGCCTAACCTACAAGTAAGTCATTGTTTTAATTTCTAATAAGGAAGCTTCTACATGACTCTAGGATGGTCCCAATTTTTATCTAATGCGCTGTAGGTTTGAATTCACAGGCTTAGCGCAGTTGTTACTAAAGTGGATTAGATACTCACCAAACCTTTTTTTAAATATTGTTTTACTGTGTATATATTTCTGTAAGTCCTAAAAAATATTCTTCTTTCTTGCAGATAATATATAATTGTAAATTTACCTGCAAGTCGTTAAACTACGAACAGAGATTGACACTTTTTGAAAAATACTATGAGTGCAGACCTGAAGTCCGTGGAACGTACATCATCCGCCTAATACATTTAACAAAGGTAAAGAGAAAAAGGTATGGCTCATACGAAGACCATCGTGATAGTCACCGTCAATGTACCATCCACTTCCAGACGGATAGGGTAATGTTGTAGTTGTATGTAAATCTACTTTTATGAATACTTCCGATTTGACAAAAAAGTTTGTTTATAAAGACATGACAACTCGTGTAGCTCCTGGAAAATTTAAGCAGGGTGATAGGCAACAGAGTATATAAGTAGTATTCCCCGAGAAGAATCTCATTATTCGCGAGCAAAAACTGCAAAAGAAATATACCGTTTTTGCAGAAATTTCCACTCAGTTTGGTCACCTATAAGTTTTACTAAAATAAGAGTAATAGAATAAAAAAGAAAAAAGAGAAGAAATTTTACTAAACTTGGAGTCATTACCTTCTCACCAGGTGGCGTTTGCTGACATAATCGCAAAAAAAACTTAATTTTCTGAAAAAGCATAAATTTATTTTTGACTTTTTGAAAACCGCGTCCCAATATCTTTATACTAAAGATATGAATGAGGTTAAAAGTTAATTTTTTCTTATTCCGAATTTTATAAATTAAATGCTAGTTTATCATTTGATGAAATAGATGAAAAATGATATACAAAATCAAAATAAAATGTTGTTATCTATTTTTAAAAATGTGTTGAAAGAAGACTTTAGAAATGTTTCACTTAGAGGACGTCGAAGTGACACCTATAGTAAATGTGATTCGTTAAAGTGCGAAATAAAAGCGACGGGCGAAAGAAGTCGGACAGCAAAGTTGTTCTACATGAGCCAACTTTAACGCTACAGCTTGGGAATCAACTTTGTTGATAACATAAATTGGGAGTTGCTTATTACGCGTCCCCAATACAGAAAAAAGAAATGTTGTTGTTTGGAGCGATAACTGTATTGCTCAAAATAAAAACAGAATGAGTGTTTTCATTTATGTGTTTTTAGTGAGTTGTGAACTCTTTGACACTATTCAACATAGCTTCCTTCAGTGCTGCAGGGATTTCGCGTTGATCGAGAAAAAAAAGCGCAAGTGCGTTAAATGTAATACTGTCAAGTACACGCGCAGGCCGATTTGAGATAGTAGATATGACACAAAAAAATTTTTTTGATCTACAAGCGGCAGCTGACAAGATACTAAATCTCAAACAAGTGAATATTAGCAAAGTCGATCGAATGAAAGTTGACTTCCAAAGACGTGGCTTTTTGTTGACTGCTGAATCTTATTCTGAAGTAGCATGTTGGAAAGGCACACGGTACTTAAAAAAGGAAAAACCATAGAAGATATTAGAAATATCTCAGTTAGGCTGCTACCATACATTAATAAGCTCGGTGATAACAAGATTGTTTTCGAAAAATCGTCGGTGAGCGGGGCAAGTTCGTCGCAAATCGCGCGAATCAGTTTTTTATTTAAAAAAAGGCGCTTCGCGTATTCTTGTAGGGACGCAATGTTTTTCTATCGAGCTCCTGCGGACCACTGTGGAACTTTCTCAAAATCGATGTAATTTAATTGTGCATGCACCCTGTATAATATGTCTTTGACATCTCGTCGAACTTCAAAGTTATAGAAAACACCAGTAAATATTAAAATTTTTACTGGTAATTTTTACGATTTTAATTTACTTACGATACCGTTCATATCAAATTATCATATTTTTAAAAGTTTTTCATGTATCGCCAAGAATTCACCCACATAATTCTAGGATCTATTAGAATTTTTTGCCCACAAACGACGTACCCTGCATATAATTCCAACAATGTTCGAAATAGAGGATATAACTCTAGATCTCTCCTGAATTTTTCCTTGATACGGCCTATAACACTGTTTGAACGGATTAGCTATTGTTTGTACGAATTTACTCTGTAAAAAACAATTTTCACGGTCTTTTAGATTTTTGTCCATAAGTAAAACACCCTGTATATATTCGAAAAAATGCATGAAACAATAGTTATAGCGCCTGATCTCCCACGTATACCGAATGTAAAATTTTTCCGATCGGATGAATGGGTTTGGAGGAAAAGATGTTTTTCTGGATGCCAAAATAACCACAAAAAAATACTTCGCGTGTATATGGGCAATATCGTCATGTAAAAGAAACTAACATCTAAAACACAGATTTGAAATTATTTCCAATTTTCAATAATAGGGGACCCATTTTTAAGTTTTTTTGAATTTGCGGCGCACCCTGTATATTTTTGAAAAATTGTCAATAATAAAAGTTTATGGAGTCCTTGCCTCTGCGTCTTCTGGTTCTAGAATTTTTTCGGTCTTGTGAACCGTTTTTTTTAAATACTTCCCGACCCCCCCAGCCCTCCCATTTTCAATAGGTTCCGTCAAGGATTAAAGCTGCATATATGTGCCGAATATGAAGTCGATTGATTCAAATTTCGGACACTTATCGTGTTTCATAGCAAGGTCCAAAAAATAGTCGAAAATCGCGAAAAAAAGATGTGCCTCGTGAAGGGGTAAAAAGGAGGTAATTTTGTAGCTCCAACGATTTGAAAGTTATTCAGGAAAAACCAAAAGACGAGAACGGAGAACGGAGAACGAAGAAAAATGATTTTTCTACGTTTTTTTTGTCTCAGCTTATTTACCAGTAAGCCAAATAATATGTTTTTTTTTTGATAATTATAATTTTTTTAAATATCTCCTTTTAACAATTTTGGCACTTAACCCCTTTGTTACTTCTATTACAACATTTCTTGACTAGCCAATTAAAAAGTAATTAATTGAGCAATCAATTAAGAAGTGGTCAACTGACCAGTCCCAACACCAGGTATACTTACAAGGCTGCGGATTCAGCTCGTATTTCATCAGTTCGCTCAAATGTGCTATCACTTGCATACTTGCTGGTATATACGAGTCGGAAAAATTTTGAATCTTTTCTACTTTTGGTGGACCTCTTCCCGTATACGCCGTCAGACATATCTGTAAAATGAAATACAATATGAAATTGTATAATTTGATGTGAAATGCAAATTGATCCTTCGGCAACAATGCCATATGTCACAAACTATTATTCAGAATTTGATTTTTTATATACATTTTGGCGGCGATTTTTGGGTTCACTTTAAAAAGAAAACTTCATATCAACATATTTCCTAAACGTCCTAAATTTTGAGATACGGGGTGGATAAAAAATTCAATATTAAAATATATTTCTTTTTAATGTCTGCAATACCGCTTTAGATATTTTAATGAAATAAAAGATAAACTAATCGTTGTTCAAAAATCAATTTAAAAAATCATAAAAATTAACCGTTTACGAACAAGTCAGTTTTGAAATTTTGACCAGTTTTTATTGGTTTTTAGTTTGCATGAGGGCTGAGACTGCTCTCACTAAGGGCGTTCTGGTTTTTGGTTGTGAGATTTTTGCAGTGAGCAAATGCAAGTTTTAACTAGAAACAGAGACGGACCAAAACATGAAACGGCAGGGATTTATGCGATCTTAATTCTTGAAAGTAACCTTTACAGTGTTATAATTTGAACATTCTGTGTAAGATTTTAAACATATATTTTAATTTTTATGAGCAAAAGAATGAAAAACAGAAGATACAAGATACAAGATTTTATTAACTACGTTTTACAATAAAATACAATATATATTAGATAAGTAGGTGGTTACATTCACAGACAGAGATGAAGTATTAAAAACAAAAAATCAAATAAGAATACAAAAGACGTAAAAAAAGACAATCTATGTACTCGACAACAGTATAAAAGCCATTAGCAAATAAGTGCTCTTTAATTTTGTTTTTAAGAGAAATGAGATTTAGTGATCTAATATTAATGCTTAATAGTATATTACGCAACTAGTGCGGTAAACGGCATTTGACTCACGAGTTTATTTGACACGAGCGGAGCGAGTGTTTAATAAACGTGACCGTCAGAATTTACAAATGTCAAAATTCATCTTCATCATTCACATGCTAAATCGGCGTATACTTAATTATTTTACAGAAGGGAGTAGTCAAATGGAAGCAGTATTTAGAATAGTTAAGTTGTTCTACTACTAAAAATTTCCCAATTTGGAGATTTGTCAAAAACGAGTGGACTAAAATATAAAATGTGTTACATCATTGTAAACGGAATAACATATTTTATTAAACACTTACATATATTATACTGGGTGTTCCATTTAAAAAAAACTGATATGTCCGAAAATTGATCGCGTTTTATGTTTTTTGCGTCACTTGGAAAAAAACCTGCCTAATAACCCCACATTATGTTTTTTTTTTAACTCTAAAAACAAAAAGGTACGTGTGTGGCAAATTTTATTAAAATATGTAAAGTGGTATCAGGCAGTTTATTGCATTTTTAAAGGCTACCCTATATCTTAAAAATTAAGACGTTTAGGACCTATGTTCATGTGAAGTTTTTGGTTTAAAAATTTTCCCCTTTAATGATTGCCATTCGATTAGAAACAGCCCGTATAGAGCGTCCATTGTAATAATAAAAATAAGTTTCTCACGAACTTGCCGGCGCATTTTGGCATCGATCAATCTTACCTGTATGAAACACACGAAACACAGCCCGAAACAGATCATCTCGCGCGTTATAACAAAATCGACACGCGAAATTAATCACACTCGATTAATTTTAACGGTGCAATCGATCGCCAGTTTCGCCGACCGTGTTCCGAAAAAATCGGCGGACGATTCGTCGATAACGTCGTCCGTTCGCGCCACAGAAGCAGTCCTTAAAATTCTTGCAACTTTAAAAACCAGTCCGATGTATTATTATTGTCGGGCGCAGGCGACTTTGAAAACGCGAATCGACCGACGGTTGTTTTATAAAATCCAGAGGTCGTCCCGCGATCTTAATCTCGTTAGACGAACAGGTTCATTGCTTCAATTGTTTTTTCTATTCGCCGTATTGCTGCGCATTTCACTTGTTTCTATTGTTCGGTCGGACGGCTACCTACTTACGCAGCTACGACGGGCGATACACGCACGAACGAATGGGGGTCACGCCATTTTGGATTAAGCGCGTAACACGGAGAGAAACTTTTAACCCCGGAACGCAGTTGTAAAAGATCAGTTTTATTTTTCGTATTCTATGGGATTCGTTCAACTCAATAAAGTGCCGTTTTACATTTTTAAATATTCCTAGTATTTCCGAAAATACTCGAAAAAAAACCTTTATTTGTTAAAAACATGGAATACACATTTTCATGATCACTTTTTCAGCTCTATATTTCATTACGATTGCATATTGATTCTGACGGTTCGACTTCTGCACTTGATTTTTTTTCAATTTAATTAAATCCTTTCATCACCTTTAAAACACTATACCGGGTGACACAAGAAAGTGGGAACACTCTATAACTCTTAAACGGCTTGAGGTAGCGATTTGAAACCTATATTTTTTTGCATTTTTGGATTCAGCAGAATAAGATGGTTTTTCTCTCTTTTTTTTTTGTTTTTTTTCAATTTTTACTTGATTTTTGAAAATTGTGTCTAGGAGGCTTTGAGCATCATAAATACTATTTAACAGGTCACCTGACCATGGGAAAAATTGTAAATTAAACTTTTCTTTACTTGTCTAATGGCAAATAGCATTTAATATGATGAACTATTAATTTTTTATGATAACCGAGTTTTTCCTAGTGGGAAAGCCGGTACGTTTTTTGCAACATTTTGACATCAAAATTTTCAAAATCCGTTAAAAAATAAGCTCACGGAAAGGAAAAAAGCAAATGAGTAAGTACATTTTTATAACAACAAAATATTACTTAGGCGGCTTTGCTTCTATTCATCGTCGAGTCGACATGATTGAAAATTCTGACAGTTTGTACATTTTTATCTGAGTATCGATTTTGTCGTGTTATCGATTTGGATTGTCAGGGAAAACAATCAATTTACAAATGGAGAAAAAGTTCACATGTTTCTGATATACGGTTAACGCAGAAAAAACCCTCGACAGGCCCGTGCATTCTATGCATCTCTCTTAATGCAAATAAATTGTAAAAATTGAAAACGAAAATAAAAATATGGCGAATTTAGTAAGAACATATGTAGTATTTAAAAAAAAGGTTATGTTTCCATTCTAAAATGTTAACATATAGTATAAGTAACATTAACTATTATTAAAAGAAAAAAATTCTTGCCATATAAAAAAAGTAACATAATAACTTTCATATTTTAGGTAAAACGAAGATAGTTTTAGGTATAAAAGGAAGATATTATTAAATTAAACGACATAACTAAGTGATTTAAGAAACCTGGTGGAAATTGCTGATGCCTCGCTTCAGCCACAGTTGGTAGTAATGTACCAAAATCCGACTCGGAAAGTTGTTGTAGAATCTAAAAATTTCCTTATTCGTTGTTCTATAACAAAAAAATCTATATTTTAGACACACGCCTAGATGACAATAGATTGTTTTATTATCGTATTTTCTATATAGAGCATTACTGCCAATCATATATTTTTTATGTTTTAAGGTTTGCTTCAGAATTTTAATTGCTTTCGCAGAAGTTTGTTAAGGAAAAAGGGAAAGGAATTCAATTGCATATTCTTTTTATTTATTTTATTTATATATATTATAGTCCTGGTACGCAGTATTCAAAAAATAAATGATTTACTCGTTTTCCTTAATCATATTTCTCTGTGTATATACAAATCTAAAATTTAGTAGGTAGCGCTAAAATAACGTAAACGGTATTATTCCTTTATATTAAAAGAAAATCGTCATGTTGAAAGCATTCTATAAAGGTTATTCACACATCTCGAGGTGTCAGTAGTATTCAATTAGCAAAACAAGTTTATATTTTGTTTGGTTTTTATTGTAAGATGAGCGACTCAACACGTAGAGGCAAATTGTTGTGGTTCACAAATATTTAACGATCTTGAGGAAGTTGTCGTTTACCTTCCAAGTGAGAGAAATGCATTTTGCTCTAGAGGTAGGTATAGAGTATTTGCCATTTCAAGAAAATATTTTTTATCTCCGGAAGATGAAGATGGTATTCCACCAAAGATCGGACAGTGGGCAGAAATGGTATTGTTTGAATTATTTGTTGTTAAGAATGTGGACGGAGAAAAAAAAATTGTTGGGGACACCTTAGAACCAATTCTATAGAATGTGGAAAACAAAGGAAGGGAATCAAGGAAAATGTCACCAGAAGAAATCGCAAGTCTAAGGGATGAAGTGCACATAAAGGCAGGTAGGTCAATACTGACCAAAATTGCGTGTCTCCGGCAAAGTGACACTTTCTTCCCTATAGCAGTAAAAAATAATAAACGCAAACCCCCTAGAAATTATTTAAATCCTGTGACCAAAATATTTATATAATATCTAGGCAAGAATTTGGAAAGCACTCCGTATATCTTGATTCCAAGAAATGTCAAGTGATTGGATAAAAGCATAAAGTTTAGCTACTAGTAATATAGAGTTCCTGCTTATGCTGATAATGCAGGAATTCATGAGGCAACAACAACAAAAATTTTGAGAAGGTCCATTCAACCAGTGCAAGATTTAAAATCTAGTTTTTAACCAGTGGACACCTCTAAGACCTTAATTTAACAAACGGCAGTATTTGGTCCATATAGATCAATTTAGACCGTCTTTAAACTTAACACAATTGTGTATAGGTACAGCTCTGACAGCAAACAGAAGAATTTTTCCAGTGGCTGAGCATTTTTGTCACATTATCCCGAAAATGGTATGGGCCAAACGCCAACAATGAAAATAACAACTCAGTCCGTTGGGGGGTAACATACGCAACTGTTCGATAGTAGGGCGCCATATGTAATGGCTATATAAATAAAACACCTCTATTTATTCTACCACCAAATGGTTTCAAAATCCTAAAAACGTCCAAACGCCCCATACGTGAACCCCACCAGACGTCCTACCATCTGAGCAAAAAACAGCCGAATACGATCCAAACCGCCCACAGGCTCCTTGTTTATTTCCTCTCGTTTGGGTATCTTTTCCACCACCTCCCTGGTGACCTCGTTAACCTGAAGGTCTATCTTCTCGGGACCTTCGGAAACCTTCTTCGGGCTGCCGTATTTCGTATTCGGTATCTGCTGGATGTTTTCCGAAACTTTCAGCGTCTGGATTACGGTCGAATTACTTTGCACCGGGTCTTCGAAGGTGATCTTGATTTTGGAAGTCACGGCCGTCGTCGTAGTAGTAGTTTCGAATTGTTCCGGAGCTTCTGTGCTGGCCTCCGAGCCGCGATGAAACGCGCTCTTAAGCTGAGCTATAAAGTTGAGCTTCGCTACGAGCTTGTTTATCTAGATTATAACGATATGGGTTAAAATACAAAGCAAAAACTGCGTCGGTTTTTCTTTGGTCGAATTTGCTAACGTTTCGCCAATCATTCTGTTGGCTTCTTCAGAGCTTGACTGAAACTGGCTCGCAGTTTAGCCTGTACCTGCTTACATATTGTTTGAGGGGCACCTATCCCATATTGATAGGTCGCTTATAGGTTGCTTTCATGTTCTTTGCTGTACGCTCAAATGGAATTTCGTCTTTAACGGATCGAAGTTGTTGAGAGATTTTTGGAAAAGTGGTAAATCTGGTTTTGGAACTTTTGATATGTGATCCTTGATGTTTTGAATGTATGGAAGTGGCAGGTGTGGGTTTCCTTTCTGCTTCATTGCTATTGGAAGGTTGCGATGAAGTGTATTTTGTGATATCTATAATGTGGAAATTATTAGAGAGAAGAGCATAAGGTGTTTTAATTCTGGGTTGAGTGACTCGTAAACATAATAACCCAATGTTATGTTTGATCTTCTATTGATAAGAATATCTAAGAATGGGAGGTTATTATTAATTTCTAATTCAATGGTAAAACGTATGATAGGGTGTATAGAGTTTAAAAGTCTAAGGAAATCTATTAGGGATTCTTGACCATGAGGCCAAATAACAAAAGTATCATCGATGTAGCCTTTCCATAACTTTGGTTTTAGATGGAGAGATCGAGAAATTTCTTCTCAAAAGCTTCCATAAATATATTCGACCGACGTTTGTTCAAAAATTTAACCGTTATACGAAAAACATTTTTCAATGAGAGAGAGAGAGAGAGAGGTTTGGTTCCAGATTCTCGGATTTTAATATATCTAAAATGATGTTGAGAGTTTCAGGCATAGAGACTTGAGTAATGAGGGATTCTACGTCGAAACTAACCAGAATATCTTGTGTATCTAATGTAGTGCTTTTTAATTGTTCAACGGAATTAAAGCAATTAATTACGAAACTATCAGCGTTCCCTGTAAAAAAACCAATGGTGCTGACAATAGGTCGAAGGGGTAATCCTGCATTGAGAATCTTTGGGAATCCATAGAGAAAAGGAATTTTAGAATCATGAGAGGTGATAAACTTTCTCACGGGGTCGGATAAAGAAGATTTAAGGTGGCGTTCCATAAATGACGTAGGATCTATGTTAAGTTGACGATATGATTAGTCTGTAAGAATCTCTACAATTTTTCGCGATATTCATTTGTGTTCATAACCACCTTAGCAAGTTCGATTCAACAACAACCGACGCATGGGTAATCCAGAAGTTTTGTAAATAGTATTACAGTAGCCTGTTTCAGTAGTAAGTAGTAAGTTTCTTTGAAAAAAAAAATGCAAAAACTAGTTTAAGTGGGGTACCTTTTTTTGGAATATGCTAGGAGACGCCTCGTTATTACCGCTCCCGCTACCCTCCTCCACACTGGAGTCGTCGGTTGCAGCTCCTTGATTTTCGGCTAACAAGTCCTCTTGTTCCGTCAAGCCGTGGTCTTCTTTAAGCTGCGTTGCTTTTTCCTGTCTCCGGCTGAGGTTGACTATGTTTAAAAGAGGCGTGGTTGCTTGAGAAGCCGAGGCCGAGGCTGACGAGGCTAGATTAAACAGTGCTCGCGGTGCAGTGTACAAGACGTGGGCCGAGGTTGATGCATTCGATAACTGTAAGAAATATCACGTTTTGTATCACCCTAACATAAATGAATCGCTTCATTTAAATGCATTAAATTTTTAAACTTTTGATCTGACATTTGATTCGGTATATTTTGACGGTTGATTTAAACATCCAAAACCAAAATTAAATAACAAAGTCCCAAAACAATAGTTTTGTGGATTTTCCTGTATATTCCATGTCCCTTTTTGATGACCAGCAGCAGCATCGGCGGTACCAAGATTTTCGAGAAAGTAGTCCAGAAGTGTAGTTTTATACTCATATTTGTTGTTTCCCAAAAAACCTTTCACGGTATCAGTAAATGAGACACATGCAACCTTTTGTTTGTCTTGATCTTGATCAGTCCCAACTCTCCCACTTACACAAAGAACAAGGGTACTTTGTATATCCTCACTGCTGACCTAGTAGAAGTCCCATAACTTTTAAGTCACCACAAATCATCGAACTATGGTTCATGTATTTGATTTTCTCAAGCATTAGTTAAAGATTTTCGTAGCATTCTATCATTTCCACTAAATAAGCAATCCACAGGAAGTAAAAAACCTCTCACTGTTACGAGGGCTACCTTTTATATTTTTTTAGCGGCCAAATTGTATGTATGCTGGTCCCACCAATGCCCAAAGATACCTCAATCTCATGGTAAGTCACATGACGATCCTACAAAATCAGTTTCTGTACTACATCAATGTATTCTTGGACAACCAACGATTTTGGACCACCAAATTCATTCCTAAGAAAAGTACGACCACGACTGAAGTCCTAAAATCAGCGAAAATGCTCGCTATTAAGTTCCATTTTTGACAGTTACAATTTTTTTAATTTATCACAAAACACACATACACTCTTTCGCCAAAACCTAACTGAGTAAACCTAACCTCAAAATTTCAAACTTCCCTATTTAAACGTTAGTCGCCAGATGGCAGAACTAGGTTAGGAAAATCCCGAAATATAAAAGGCAGCCCTCGTATTAAGTTCTGAATGTGAAAATAAGTGTGATTACTGAAAAACACTCCATATATCACCTAACACGAACTTCATATGTTGGTATCTTCTTCTAAATTGTTCGGTATACTTCGGGTCACACTATACGCTGAGGAAGTAATTTTATTAATTTTTTTGCCAGACGTATTCCTTTTGTAGGTTCAAGCTTTATAGAACCTCAATTAATTGCTTTTTGGTATAATCTTCGTGAAAATAAATGTCGTTATTATACATGTAGTTTTGGATTGCTTTTGGGTCACATGAGGAAGGGGTTTTAGTCAACTGTCTACTGTGATAACTTGCATTGTCCATTACAATTACGCTATTAGGAGGAATGTTTGGAACTAGTTTATATTTTTCGCAGACGGAGAAAGTCCATTTGGAATCCAACCATCTTTAGAGCTAGCATGCAAAATAGGTACTCTTTTATCTCTTTTTTGGCGTCTTTGTTTTACACTTATCAATTGAGGCAACCCCTCCCTTTTGCGAGGTATCATAAGTGTCGAACTAGGCTTCATCCAAGTAAATAATTGGCCTTTGTTGTTCTCTGTAAATACTAATTTTTCTTGATATTCCAGTCGCCATTTCCGAATTCTAAAAGATTCTATTCAAATTTGCCTTTTGTCAATTTTTTTAAATCTAAAACCCATGTGTTGAATACATAAGGTAGTTCTGCCACATTTAACACCGGTTTCATCTTTTTCAAGCCTCCTAATTAAGATATCTAATGTAGGCACGCTTTGTTTCTCGTATAACTGGTAAATTTTACTCCGTATTATATCTTGAACACTTTCATCTACTCTTGAGAAAATGGATCAGCATCGCTTCTTTTTTTCCTCGCTGAAATGGGATTATTCACAATTTTCCGTACAGTTGATGTTGGAATTTTCGTCAATTAGGCCGTTTCTTCTAAAGATGCTTGCTTGCTGGCACCACGTTCAATGAGAGTCAACAAAACATTGTTTATAAATTCCTTAGTCTCAATAGAACAATTTAAACTAAGTAGTATACCAAACCAAAGAATATTAAACACAGGTAGGTATAAAATTATTTTCTATTACGGACCACAATTTTACCTGAATTTAAATTCCGAAACTTGAGGTAATAATCTTGTTGCATTGTATGTTAATGATCACCCTTGGAAAAGCAATTGGTCACTTTTTTATATCTATGAACAGACCATACTGCTTTTATTTAAACACATTATATGAAAATGCGATGTAGGGCATCTGGTATGTTATAAGTAAATATTAAAACCATTAATAAATTTAAAAAAACAGGAAAACTGTAAAGTTCACACTACACAATGCGTTGCCATCATTACATCATTAAAAATGATTTCCGAAATATATGTAGGGTACTTACGCAAAACAGCGTCCAAATCAAGGCACGAAAATCCATGGTAACCACTTTAACAAACAAACCACCGTTCTTGTTGAAAAACTAAATCGCCATTGAAAAAATGCTTATAAATAATAAACAATATTAAATTCGTATCATAGTATAAATAGTCTCCCTACTTGGCGGGCGTTGCAAAATAGCGGCATCGAGTTTTGAATAAGAATGATTACCATTCGGTCAACCTTAAAGAACGTTAGCAGTGATGTGGAAGAATTTTTACAATTTGTCCCAAATTCATACACGAAAGGCCTTTGACGCGAAGATGTCTTTTAAGTTATGTGCGCGCATACTAATAGAATTGAACGCCAATTATTCTACTCCGGGAGACAAAATATCATAATCGCTTCTCGGTGTGGGCTGGGATAGGGCTTAGGCACAAAATTCGATGTCTGAAAATCTAATTGACGATTTAAAATTATAAATATATTTTACTCCTCAATTAACCTAATGAATGATATATTGATTATTCATTCGAGTAAAATATTTCTTGTCGAGTTTTAAAGTACTTATTAAATAAGATAAATTAAAAAAAAAGATTTTTATTTATATTTCGGCACCCACCTTCAGCGTTTATTAAAGGGGGTTAGGCAAAAACTTTTTTTATATAAGATTATATGAGTTTTTCTCCATTGTCTACTGAACGTACCAATAAAAACAAATGAGCGCTGCAAAGGAATAAGAAATAAACAAAATCGCTTTTTAAAATTGAACAGTGATTTTTTTTAACCCGATTTCCAAAATATTCAGTATTTGGTTTAGTTTGAGTTATTGAAATATTTTTCGAAAGTAGTACAAAATCACTTATTTGCTAGTATCAACAAATACACCATAGGTACGAACTATAAAGAGAAAAATGTAAGTTTGCTATTTTCCTATATGATGTTGGCAGGTGCTTTTTACATAGTACTTACTCCTTGTACGCAGATGAACTAAAAATTTAAAAATTGGTTCACTCTGCGGCAGACTACGTGTTGTCAAATTTTGAAGAATGTTGTTCTCTGGACAGATTGTTTGTTGACCCTGAGAAATGTCACTATTTTGTTTACAAAAAAATTACCACAATTGCAAATTAAAAGTGATCTCTACCTAGGTAACTACAAACTGAAATTTTTAGACTATGTAAAGGACCTAGGTATTACATTGGATCCGGGGCTTCTTTTTGAGATGCGCGAAAACATTGTTCAAAAGGCTCTAAAGGGTATTGGATTTAATTTACGGGTGACTAATGGGTTTAATAAGAAAAAATCTTTAGTAATACTTTTTTACAGTCTTGTCAGACCCGTGTTGGAATACGCTACGCCAGTCTGGAATCCAATGTTTTGAAATATATCGAACGGCATTTTTTTAATTATAGTGCAAACCTTCATTTCTATTGTATGCAGTCTTTGGAAAATCGTGGCACCAATTTATTAAGCCTGTAATTAATTCTTAATTAGATTTAGCTGGTAAAAAATAATTTTAAATAGTGCGATGACAAAGTATCTCTTTTATTGGATAGCAGCGTCTAAGTGGCTGTATTGCTACAAGAAATAAAAATTCCCAACTGTCATCAAATCACCATTTAATAAATGTTCTCGGTTGTTCTCTGTAAAAGTTCTTGCAGAAACTTAGGTAATAATAAATTTTGAAGGCAAGATAACGATAAGATAAGATTATTATTTAGCAATAAATTATTTTTTTCATTTATCGCCTTTTCACGGCAGAATCTGCAACTAAAAGTTAACACAACTTTCTTAATCCCATCACACGGCAATTAAAACTTTTTTCTACTAATTTCTGATTAATTTTTACAGTTACCCTGTGTAATCGAAAAAGTGCGTTAAAGAAATATATCTCGTATATTATTTTTTGAGAGAAATATGTTAAATACAAAAATTATATATCAGATTAAAAGAAACAATTTAAAAATATTTTCAAATATACATACTACATATGTTTTTTTTCTTTTAAATGGAACACCCCGTATATGTTAGACTCAATCACACTGAGTGTTTACGGATTTATGGCCAGTCGTTTATCGTTTATACAGGGTGAGTCAACATTAGAAAAATCCAATTGAACGCTGTATATGTTGTATACCATTAATTACACCTATCAATTTTTTAAAGTTTTATTATGCACTCCCTATACCTAAACTAGTTACGAGGTATACACATTTTTAGGAGCAAAATACCAAAAATTTTCAAATTGGTACCTGAAGGTAAAAAATTAGTCTTTATGGAATGTAAACTGTAAATAACACATATTCGAAAAAATCATCTTACTCAAAAATTCTTTTTTGAGCCCAAAATAAGGAGCATTTTTTTTTCACAAAATTCAAAATTTAAATATTAATTTTTATTTTTCTTATAGGTATCTTAAAAAGTTTAGGTACAGGAAATTACAATTACAGCTGTCGGAAATGGCGTGTTAAACACAAGAGTTTTTGACAAAAAAATGGACATATAATCGAAAACACTCAGTATAGACCACAAAATTTGGTGATTAATACAAACAATACAAAATACAAACAATACAAAATACAACTTTAGTTTCCAAAGTGTTTATGAATAATATGAAATTTTAAATTGTTTCTTTTAGTCTTATAATAATAATAATAATATTAATAAATAGTCTTTATTGAAATTAAAAAATGAGTTGAACAGCTGGCGAGGTCTAGCAGCGCTACTCCACCTAATTAATCACCAATACAGTGTAGTAGAATATTCAGAAATTAGCAAGAAAAAAAAGCTAAGAAATATAAATAAGTTCCTTAAATCTACCTAGATTCACAATTTGACAATTTTAAACAAATCATAAATGTAAAAAGAGAAAAAAAGAAAAAAATAAACACTGGAAAAAGCAAGGGCAATATTCAAAAACGACTAAAAGAAAATAAAAGAAAAACAGCAAGCAAAAAATATGTAAATAAATAAATAAAAAATAATAACAATAAGCGGTTCAGCCTCTCATTAATCTCAACAGCTCTCTTAATTTCTTTTTAAATGTAGAACTAATAACATTCAGTGGAAGTGAATTGTAACTTTTAATAGGTTTGTACATGAAAGAACTCCGAAACGCAGCCGTACTATCCTTGGGAACATAGCACAGGTGAGGGTGACGAGTCGCCCTGTTATGTATATCAGTACCTCTGAAATACCGCTGCTTTTCGTACCTAGTAATTTTATACTGTCACGTAGACACATGCACAAAATACCTTTCAGACAGATTTAACAACTGAGAATCCTTGAGTGCTGGCGTTATATGATCAAATTTACGCAAACCATAGCTGTAGAGATAGTATAAGAGAGTCAAACAAGTTAAGTCTAATCTCAGTAGATAAGTAGTCTTTATACACGTAAAGTACTTTTAGTTTCCCGTAGGACTTCTACAGTAAATAAGACAAGTGAGAATATAAATATAACTTTTGTACTTAACATTTTTTTCTAAACAAATAATAAATAATTAACATTACTTAGAAAAAATCAAAGGTGGCCTAAAGATCTCAAACTCCTGGATCTAAAAATATCATCTAATTTTTCTTGATATTCCAGTCGCCATTTCCGAATTCTAAAAGATTCTATTCAAATTTGCCTTTTGTCAATTTTTTTAAATCTAAAACCCATGTGTTGAATACATAAGGTAGTTCTGCCACATTTAACACCGGTTTCATCTTTTTCAAGCCTCCTAATTAAGATATCTAATGTAGGCACGCTTTGTTTCTCGTATAACTGGTAAATTTTACTCCGTATTATATCTTGAACACTTTCATCTACTCTTGAGAAAATGGATCAGCATCGCTTCTTTTTTTCCTCGCTGAAATGGGATTATTCACAATTTTCCGTACAGTTGATGTTGGAATTTTCGTCAATTAGGCCGTTTCTTCTAAAGATGCTTGCTTGCTGGCACCACGTTCAATGAGAGTCAACAAAACATTGTTTATAAATTCCTTAGTCTCAATAGAACAATTTAAACTAAGTAGTATACCAAACCAAAGAATATTAAACACAGGTAGGTATAAAATTATTTTCTATTACGGACCACAATTTTACCTGAATTTAAATTCCGAAACTTGAGGTAATAATCTTGTTGCATTGTATGTTAATGATCACCCTTGGAAAAGCAATTGGTCACTTTTTTATATCTATGAACAGACCATACTGCTTTTATTTAAACACATTATATGAAAATGCGATGTAGGGCATCTGGTATGTTATAAGTAAATATTAAAACCATTAATAAATTTAAAAAAACAGGAAAACTGTAAAGTTCACACTACACAATGCGTTGCCATCATTACATCATTAAAAATGATTTCCGAAATATATGTAGGGTACTTACGCAAAACAGCGTCCAAATCAAGGCACGAAAATCCATGGTAACCACTTTAACAAACAAACCACCGTTCTTGTTGAAAAACTAAATCGCCATTGAAAAAATGCTTATAAATAATAAACAATATTAAATTCGTATCATAGTATAAATAGTCTCCCTACTTGGCGGGCGTTGCAAAATAGCGGCATCGAGTTTTGAATAAGAATGATTACCATTCGGTCAACCTTAAAGAACGTTAGCAGTGATGTGGAAGGATTTTTACAATTTGTCCCAAATTCATACACGAAAGGCCTTTGACGCGAAGATGTCTTTTAAGTTATGTGCGCGCATACTAATAGAATTGAACGCCAATTATTCTACTCCGGGAGACAAAATATCATAATCGCTTCTCGGTGTGGGCTGGGATAGGGCTTAGGCACAAAATTCGATGTCTGAAAATCTAATTGACGATTTAAAATTATAAATATATTTTACTCCTCAATTAACCTAATGAATGATATATTGATTATTCATTCGAGTAAAATATTTCTTGTCGAGTTTTAAAGTACTTATTAAATAAGATAAATTAAAAAAAAAGATTTTTATTTATATTTCGGCACCCACCTTCAGCGTTTATTAAAGGGGGTTAGGCAAAAACTTTTTTTATATAAGATTATATGAGTTTTTCTCCATTGTCTACTGAACGTACCAATAAAAACAAATGAGCGCTGCAAAGGAATAAGAAATAAACAAAATCGCTTTTTAAAATTGAACAGTGATTTTTTTTAACCCGATTTCCAAAATATTCAGTATTTGGTTTAGTTTGAGTTATTGAAATATTTTTCGAAAGTAGTACAAAATCACTTATTTGCTAGTATCAACAAATACACCATAGGTACGAACTATAAAGAGAAAAATGTAAGTTTGCTATTTTCCTATATGATGTTGGCAGGTGCTTTTTACATAGTACTTACTCCTTGTACGCAGATGAACTAAAAATTTAAAAATTGGTTCACTCTGCGGCAGACTACGTGTTGTCAAATTTTGAAGAATGTTGTTCTCTGGACAGATTGTTTGTTGACCCTGAGAAATGTCACTATTTTGTTTACAAAAAAATTACCACAATTGCAAATTAAAAGTGATCTCTACCTAGGTAACTACAAACTGAAATTTTTAGACTATGTAAAGGACCTAGGTATTACATTGGATCCGGGGCTTCTTTTTGAGATGCGCGAAAACATTGTTCAAAAGGCTCTAAAGGGTATTGGATTTAATTTACGGGTGACTAATGGGTTTAATAAGAAAAAATCTTTAGTAATACTTTTTTACAGTCTTGTCAGACCCGTGTTGGAATACGCTACGCCAGTCTGGAATCCAATGTTTTGAAATATATCGAACGGCATTTTTTTAATTATAGTGCAAACCTTCATTTCTATTGTATGCAGTCTTTGGAAAATCGTGGCACCAATTTATTAAGCCTGTAATTAATTCTTAATTAGATTTAGCTGGTAAAAAATAATTTTAAATAGTGCGATGACAAAGTATCTCTTTTATTGGATAGCAGCGTCTAAGTGGCTGTATTGCTACAAGAAATAAAAATTCCCAACTGTCATCAAATCACCATTTAATAAATGTTCTCGGTTGTTCTCTGTAAAAGTTCTTGCAGAAACTTAGGTAATAATAAATTTTGAAGGCAAGATAACGATAAGATAAGATTATTATTTAGCAATAAATTATTTTTTTCATTTATCGCCTTTTCACGGCAGAATCTGCAACTAAAAGTTAACACAACTTTCTTAATCCCATCACACGGCAATTAAAACTTTTTTCTACTAATTTCTGATTAATTTTTACAGTTACCCTGTGTAATCGAAAAAGTGCGTTAAAGAAATATATCTCGTATATTATTTTTTGAGAGAAATATGTTAAATACAAAAATTATATATCAGATTAAAAGAAACAATTTAAAAATATTTTCAAATATACATACTACATATGTTTTTTTTCTTTTAAATGGAACACCCCGTATATGTTAGACTCAATCACACTGAGTGTTTACGGATTTATGGCCAGTCGTTTATCGTTTATACAGGGTGAGTCAACATTAGAAAAATCCAATTGAACGCTGTATATGTTGTATACCATTAATTACACCTATCAATTTTTTAAAGTTTTATTATGCACTCCCTATACCTAAACTAGTTACGAGGTATACACATTTTTAGGAGCAAAATACCAAAAATTTTCAAATTGGTACCTGAAGGTAAAAAATTAGTCTTTATGGAATGTAAACTGTAAATAACACATATTCGAAAAAATCATCTTACTCAAAAATTCTTTTTTGAGCCCAAAATAAGGAGCATTTTTTTTTCACAAAATTCAAAATTTAAATATTAATTTTTATTTTTCTTATAGGTATCTTAAAAAGTTTAGGTACAGGAAATTACAATTACAGCTGTCGGAAATGGCGTGTTAAACACAAGAGTTTTTGACAAAAAAATGGACATATAATCGAAAACACTCAGTATAGACCACAAAATTTGGTGATTAATACAAACAATACAAAATACAAACAATACAAAATACAACTTTAGTTTCCAAAGTGTTTATGAATAATATGAAATTTTAAATTGTTTCTTTTAGTCTTATAATAATAATAATAATATTAATAAATAGTCTTTATTGAAATTAAAAAATGAGTTGAACAGCTGGCGAGGTCTAGCAGCGCTACTCCACCTAATTAATCACCAATACAGTGTAGTAGAATATTCAGAAATTAGCAAGAAAAAAAAGCTAAGAAATATAAATAAGTTCCTTAAATCTACCTAGATTCACAATTTGACAATTTTAAACAAATCATAAATGTAAAAAGAGAAAAAAAGAAAAAAATAAACACTGGAAAAAGCAAGGGCAATATTCAAAAACGACTAAAAGAAAATAAAAGAAAAACAGCAAGCAAAAAATATGTAAATAAATAAATAAAAAATAATAACAATAAGCGGTTCAGCCTCTCATTAATCTCAACAGCTCTCTTAATTTCTTTTTAAATGTAGAACTAATAACATTCAGTGGAAGTGAATTGTAACTTTTAATAGGTTTGTACATGAAAGAACTCCGAAACGCAGCCGTACTATCCTTGGGAACATAGCACAGGTGAGGGTGACGAGTCGCCCTGTTATGTATATCAGTACCTCTGAAATACCGCTGCTTTTCGTACCTAGTAATTTTATACTGTCACGTAGACACATGCACAAAATACCTTTCAGACAGATTTAACAACTGAGAATCCTTGAGTGCTGGCGTTATATGATCAAATTTACGCAAACCATAGCTGTAGAGATAGTATAAGAGAGTCAAACAAGTTAAGTCTAATCTCAGTAGATAAGTAGTCTTTATACACGTAAAGTACTTTTAGTTTCCCGTAGGACTTCTACAGTAAATAAGACAAGTGAGAATATAAATATAACTTTTGTACTTAACATTTTTTTCTAAACAAATAATAAATAATTAACATTACTTAGAAAAAATCAAAGGTGGCCTAAAGATCTCAAACTCCTGGATCTAAAAATATCATCTTGATCAGAAATCATAGTGGAAACACTCTTAAATCCAAAAATATCATGGATGCGAGATAAAAATTGGTCATTAGCAGCACTCCTGACAAATTTTGACATGTCGAAGTCCTAAGTCAAGGCCAACTTGATAAAGATATTATAGATTATTGTTGTGATGACTAATAATCTACTCAATAACAAAATTTGGTTCACGATAAATTTTGTGAACTCTGCGCCATACTGTGAGCTGGTTACATTTGCCCGGACCGCTTTTAATTTATCGAATAGCATTCATTTAATTAGCTGTGTTTATTTATTGAAGAAATATTCGACAAAAAGATATTTGAAATTCCCCCTTTTTTCTATAGGTACTTGTGCTTGTCGATACTACCGAAGTCGACCCACTTGAATTTCAATAAAAGCATTGCGCAATTTTGGTATTTGTTTATTGTCGGCGCAACCTTTAAAACGGAGCCACATGCAAATTCGTGATTTATCATAAATGTCAGGAGTAATATTGTAAGCGATTTAAACCGCATCTCGTAACAATGGGACCGCATATAAATAAAACACTTAACAAAGTGACACCCTTCTATTTTTTAAATACGGTTACACTTATTTGTACATTCTATAATACTTGGCAATTTACAATTTGCAATTTTATTGAGCTGGTGCGTCGAAACATAAGATTACGATATAAACTATAACCTAAGAAAAACGCGACAAGTTGGCAACGCCGCTTTACTCTGCTACTCCACCCTTCCCGTAAGCCTAGTCCTGCTGTTGCGCCGGTGAATTCTTGCCTTTCGTTCTAAAATTAAACAACCCAGAATTCCTCATCACGGCGGCAGCGTAAGGGTCGCCGAAGGAGGTTGCGTGAGATGTCGCAACACCGCCTTTCCCGGTGGAAAAACTATTGGCGATTGCCGTCGCCGAACCAGGGTAGTAACCGCCGTCCTCGAGATCGCCGGATCTGGTTCTAGAACGGGAGGAACCGCCTCCAATGAAGATTGGGAAGAAAGCGTTATATGCCGGAATACCCCCTGGAATATTGACTTAAATAACAAACAATTGGAATGTGGATGAGGAATTGATATTACCGCGTCTGGAACCAAAAGGCCAACCCGAGCTTAGACCATCATCATCATCACCTTCGTCTTCCTCTTGCTTGACAGGCTTTTTCGGTCTCCTTTGCTGGGTCGGCTTTTTCGATGGTAGAGTCTGGAACGAATCATACTACTCGGTAGATATTTGGGGTTAAGTACGTATAATATTACCAAAAATATAATGCGTTTAATGCTTTAAAGTTTTCCGTTTACGTATACTACAGTACCTTATTCGCAGATGTTTATTTTGCATTAACGGAGACGGACCGTAACGAATATTTGTAGAAACGGAATTTTTATTTGAAACGTAAATGGACCGTTTTAAATTTGATTAAGCATTGATGCTGCGTGGTATTTTCGAATAAGTAGAAGCGTTTATTTTAACATCAGGTGATATGCATCGTTCTTAACAGTTTTGTGTATGGTCTGTTCATAGATATAAGAAAGTGACCAATTGCTTTTTAATGGGATTATCCAAGGGTGGTCATTCACATACTATGCAACAAGATTACCTAAAGTTTCGGAATTTAAACTCAGGTAAAATTGTGGACCGTAATAGAAAATAATTTTGTACCTACCTGTGTTTAATATTCTTTGGTTTCGTATACTACTTAGTTTAAGTTTATTAGTAATCATTCTTATTTCGGGTGTGCGAATTATATAAAATATGTGCGAGTCTAGTGTATCTTAGGAGATGCTCCCGCCCAAATGTAGAAAACACTATTCTATTGAGACTAAGGAAGTTATAATGTTTATTTCACTCACATTGAACGTGGTGCCCACAAGCAACAATCTTTAGAAGAAACTTCCACATTGACGGAAATTTCAACATCAACTATATGGAAAATTGTGAATAATCCCATTTCAGCGAGGAAAAAAGGAAGCGATGCTGACATTTTGTCGAGTGTGGATAAAAGTGATCAAGATATAATACGGCGTCAAATTTACCGGTTATACGAGGATCAAAGCGTGCCTAAATTAGGAGGCTCGAAAAAGATGAAACCGGCGTTAAATGTGGCAGAACTACCTTATGGAACTGTATTCAACACATGGGTCTTAGATTTAAAAAAAATGACAAAATGGAAGTTTTAATGGAATCTTTTAGAATTCGGAAATGGCGACTGGAATCTCTAGAAAAAATTAGGATTTACAGAGAACAACAAAGGCCAATTATTTACTTGGATGAAACCTGGTTCGACACTTATGATACCCCGGAAAAGGGTAAAGGGTAAAAGAATAACTATTTTGCATGCTGACTCTAAAGATGGTTGGATTCCAAATGGACTTTCTCTGTCTGCGAAAAATATTAAAGATTCTTCTCTGGATTGCCATGAAGACACCACCGCTGATTTATTTGAAAATTGGTTTAAATCAAACTAGTTCCAAACATTCCTACTAATACCGTAGTTTTTAATGGATAATGCAAGTTATCACAGTAGACAGTTGGCTAAAACCCCTTCCTCATGTGACACTAAAGCCACAATCCAAAACTACATGTATAATAACGACATTTGCTTTCACGAAGATTATACCAAAAAGCAATTAATTGAGGTTCTACAAAGCTTGAATCTACAAAAGGAATACGTCTGTGATAATTATGCAAAAAATCTAGGGCATACAGTTTTAAGGCTTCCACGTTACCACTGTGTATTTAATCCCGTTGAATATGTTTGGCACCAACTGAAATCTATTCGTCGTAACAATGTTTTTCCCCGTGTTAACTCCAATGTCCTCAAACTTATGGGAACCGAAGTTTTTAACATCCCCCCACAAAGTTGGGCAAATTCTGTTAAACATATAGAAAAAGCAGAACAATCGTATATCCATATTGCAAATAATATAGAACAAATAATAATTAGAACAGGCCATGATAGCGATAGTGATACTGATGTATTATATATTATATTATATTATTTTAAGTAATTTAAGTAGGTAACAAAAATAATTTGCAATTTTATTTTAGATTTAAACATAAATACATAAACAAAAAATAAATATTCTATATTTCATTCTTACAGCTTGCCCGGGTCTTTCCTTAATTCGTATCAGTTAGTCACTTTCTTATATCTATGAACATACTTTACTTGATTCTCGAGATTTGGCCCTACGAGGCTGTTTTCACTGTATAGTTCAAAGGGCAAAGGTAAGTACCTGCACTGTATTTATTTTACAGGTAAGTCTGAAAATAATCATTTTTGTCTTATGTGCCTGTCATATTTTTGTGTTTTCTACATGTTTCTTCAATTTGTAAACAACAACAGTCCTTTTTTAAGACTAAAGATTATATGCGCGATAGATGAAGGCTCCTGTTTTTCAACATTTTAAAATGTGGAAACCGGGAATAATGCAGATGTTCCCCTGTTAGAATTTGAAGACGAAGTGGAGATGGTAGTCGAACCTAATGACAATTTAGAAGACGAACTACCTCAGCAAATAAAAAACGGAAGCATTTGCCTTCGGCTGCTAAAGTGTATTGAATGTTTACAATTTTAAAACAAATTCAGAAGGGGAAGTACGAGCGGCAATAAAAACAAGTGACAAAAGTTCTGAAGAAAACAACTGTAAGAAAAATTGTTGCAAATGGGATATTCAAGAGGAAAGTGAGAGAAGATGCTGACAGACCTGGAGATGATTTTTTCTGAGTTGAAAGCGCATATAAGAAGACATAACACTGCACCAAAATTTATTGATAGTACCATAAAGGTAATTCGGGAAGAGGTAGCTAAAATGTCAGTACAAAGCTGGTGTAACTGTGAAAAACTATTAATAAAAGAAGAAAATATTTATCGAGAACGATTAGGGGCGGAGTTGATCATTGAACTAGGCGACGACAGTAGCGATAGTGAATACCTTTTAAGTGACTGACACTTTATTATTATATTTAATATTTTGTATATTAATAACGATACTATTGTTTGTATACTATATGTTTCAAGAATTGATCAGCGAAAAAGATTGAAAACAGACTTATATCCCGCTTGTTAGTGTAGTGTAGTGTAGAGTCTGTTGAAAAAGCAGTACATATTTCTGGTCCAACTATACCTTGGTGGATTTGGTAGTAACTATTAGGGCGGCGTCTGTCACCGGTTCTTCAGATGAACTACTTTCTTGCTCGTCTGGTTCGTATTCTACGTCAGCTTCGTTCAGGGATTCGTCTACCAGCGAAGGTTTGGGGGCTTTCTCCGTGATCTGCTCGATCGGTTGGTTGAACGGGGAGCCTGCAGCCTAAAAGGTTAATTAAATTACATTATTTTTTGTCCTAGAATTGATATCTGAATAAAAATATAGCGTGTTCCATTTGAAAATCGTGAGATTTTGTTAATTGAATTCGCCACCTATTTGGGACACCCTGTATAAGCTGAGACGCATCTGTCAAACAGAATGAGTAGTGTATCACCTACTTAGTCTGTGGTTAAATTTTCGTTACAATACCAGGACCAGTAGCGTCTCAATACAATTTTATATGGGGCAATCAAAATATACAAAAAAAACACATATAATGTCAATTTGTGCCTAAGCTATACAAAATTGGAATAGCAATTTCTTAAGACAGTGACCGTTATTTTAGCCAAGGATTCCAAAAATGTCGAAATATACGCGGTATTCTATTTAAAATAACAAAATTGATGTCGGGGACAGTTTTGGGACACCCCGTATCAACAAATTGTAATATTTTAAATCTTCAGGAGAGCCCTCGAAATTTTTATACGAAACTCGCCTCAGAGGGGTATGTTCGTTGTTAGTGAAGATAGAGCCTTGCGTCTTCGCAAACCTTTGGTGCTTCTTTGCGAAACGAAAGATGACGTTAACAATATTTTCATAACTTGCTTAGTTTTTAAAATACAGGGTGATTTTGGAAATTTGAAGTTTTGGGGCACCTCGGTATCACATGTCTGTTTTGACTGTCGATTTGTATATGTAAATATTGACAGATGTTATACCAGAATTATTACTTTTTAGAGGACAATTTTGGAAATAATTGGATAAGTACTATGTGGCCACATTTAAAGAGTAAAATAAATGTCAATAGTCACAATAATATCGGAGAACTTCGAGCAGCCACTAAAGTAGCTTTTCAAAGTTTCAAAATGGATTAAAATTGTGTGGTAAAAAAAGTGGTAGACAAGAAATGCAAATATTTAATAATTTTTATGTTTCTAAGCGTTTTAAATAATTGTTTTAATATCTTGCTCTTTTTGATTTATCTTTTTTAATATTCTATAGGTAATAAATAAAATGTTAATATTAAACTAAGTTGGTATAGTGTAAGTGTTGTCAGCAATAAATAAAGTAACCAGTTTAGATATTTAATATATTCTTTTTGCAAGGCTTACTGCAAATACTTTCATGTAAAGTAAAAAAAAACATTTTTGTGGAGTCATTTATACAAATGACCCCATTTTTGAGAAGCTCGGATCGACATCGTGTACCCGAGATACGAGGGGTGTCCGAAAAATTGAAATTTCCAAAATCACTCTGTATTTTAAAAACTAAGCAAGTGATGAAAAGGTTATTAACGTTATCTTTCGTCTCCTTTGCAAAAAATGCTTAAAAAGTTTAGCAAACGTGTTACATACGACTGTTTAGTTTTAGAATACTAACGGTGAATGTGTGACGTCGTCGTAAATGTTCTGTAGATTTTAGCAATGATATTTTGACATTTGTCAATTTATCACACACGTTACATAACGCACCGTGTATTATCGACCTTACCTCTTCTTCTGCTGCAACGTGCAGTGGTTTGCCCGGAGTAGACCAGGGCTGTCCAGAGAACGAGTTCGTCGCCACAGTATCGCCTGCCACCATTGCAGTCATTTGTCCTTGGGGCACGTACTCGTAAGCCGGCATAGGGTTGGAATAATATCCTCCAAACATCACCGCCCGTTTCGGATAATACCCTGCACAAAAATGATCCTTTAACGCCGATCCTCGGCCGAGAGGGCGATTCTTATCTTACCGTAACCGGACGGATGCCCGTTTCCAACGCAAAAAACGAACAGCAACCCTGAAATTGTCAAACCGACGCTCATGTTGCTAGTTATAAATTATTCACCGCGTCCGCACAATTCTTTTGTTTCTTTCGCAAAGGTGATAGTGACTTTTGAGTCGCAGGAAGTGCCTTCGGGAATATTTATATTATTTCGAAATATTCGCCCCACCACGGTCACTCTATTCATCCACCTGTGCGCGTCTAAAGTGGTCCATACACGCCGCGCGTTTGACGGTACTCCTATTGAACTCGCGACAAGCGAGCCGATTGCTAAATTTTGTAGAACGCTGCAAAATTAGACTTTTTGATAGATGTTTTTATTATGAAAACTGATTTTGTATAATTTTGGTAGGCTGATTTTAAAAAACTTATTTATTTTTTTTATTATTATTTTGAGTGAAATCTTCGTCTTTTTGCCAGAAAGCTGCGTTGCCCGAAAATTCGGCTGTGTGTTTCTAAGGGCATATCTCGTTTTAACATCCAGGCGTGAAAACAGGAAATACACTTTTAAACTAATATTACAACTAGACGATGGAAGTGTTGTAACATATTTTGAACAATACTTTCGTAGATTTCGTCTTTAGAGTGCCCAAGAAACTTATCAATTATTTCTTTAAATGAAACCCAGGAGTTTTTATCGACATTGGTCAGTGTGTTTCGAAAATCCCTGCCTTTGAATAATGTTCTTATCTGCTGCCCAACAATATGGCTTGAAACACATTTTTGTCTTTAACAGATTGCTTCATCAAGCCAAGTTTGATATGAAGAGGGGGCAGTAAAACGTTTTTGGGTCCTCTTGCCCAACTCTGCTGCTCACAAATAAAGCATGAAAATTTTGTATATCCTCGCTGTTGTCCTGTTGCATGTCCAGCACTGATCTTCTTGGTAGCTCATTTTCTTCAAAAGAAGTCCTAAATTTTCATACGTTTCTTGTAAATATACTGAATAAGCAACGGGGGCCAGTTCGGTACCACTGTGCAATAAAATGCCTTTTAAACTACACTTACTTAAATCAATAAGCAGGCGACACTCTACTGGTGAAAGCTAGATGTGACGCCAGGTGTCAATTAATGCTTGTCACCAAGTCTGGAAGCTAACAATTCGGATGCATCGCTTTCAAGGTGCAAATCTCTAATTAAATCATTTATTTGGTTCTGGTTAAACACATCTGGGTTGGAATTAGATTCCTGTGATTTTGACGATATAGAGTGTTCTAGTTTTTTGGAGCGCTATATCTGGTCCATGAGGAACTGGTAGAATAGTAAAGTCAAGATTGGTTTACACAATTTGTTTCTTACTTTTACGAACAAAAATAACAATCAGCACTTCGATTCCCAGGCTCTCGCCATATCATAGGAACACTAAGAAACATTTCTTCATACCCTTTGCAAGTTTCTTAATGCTTCAACGCAAACGGAACAAACAGTATGAGTAGCCCAGGACTTGCCTTGGTCTTTTTTCACCAAAATAACCAGAAGTTATAGTTTGCCTTTGTTTTACTACGCCATAACTTCTTCTTCTCCAAGTGCCTATCGGTTCCGGATGTTGGCCATCAGCAAGGCAATTTTTACTTTGTTCATTGCGATTCGGAAAAGTTCTGCTGATAATTAAACCACGTTCTATAGTTTGACCCGGTGCTCTCTTGCTGTTAATTTTGCCTGGGATAATTTGTTGTAATAACTGTTATCTATCTGGGTTCCTCATTATGTGACCGAGATACTGAAGTTTCCGACATTTTATGGTGTCAAGCAGTTCTCTTATATTCATACGTCTCTATATTGGTAATTTTTTGTGTGCAAGATATTTTCAATATTCTCCTGTGCAGCCACAGTTCGAATGCTTCCAGTCTCTTGGTTTCTTTAGTGAGTGGCCATGTTTCTACGCCATACAGAAGGACCGAGAAGACGTATCAACGCAATAGTCTGAGTTTCATGTTTAAGGACAGATTGTTTCTCTTAAAAAGCGAGCTCATTTTAATAAGTACTGATGGGACCTTCTAGATGCGACATCGTATTTCTGAGAGTTGCCCCAGTTCTCGTTTATGGCTGTCCCCAAGTATGTATACTGCTTTTCTCTATGTATTCTACTCTGATTGATGTATAAATTGTTTTCTGAGATGCCTCTTTTACTTACTACAAGGAGTTTGGGTTTTGTTTATATTCATTTCTAACCCGCACTGTGAGCTAGCCTGTCACCCTATCCATTAGTTTTTGTGGTTCTTGAAGGCTATCGGCAAACATTATAGTGTCATCTGCGTACCTTATGTTATTTAGTTTAGCACCATTCATGGTTATTACTTCTTGAATACTGTCCAATGCCTCTAAAGATGTATTTTGAGTACACGTTAAATAAGATAGGGGATAGAATATATCCCTACCTTACCCCTCGCAGGGTTCATTCCTATCTTTTTTAAAATGTCGACCATTTTATCATGTTGGACTCGGTCAAATGCTTTCTGATAGTCTATCAAGCAAGCAAACACATCACAGCTGACTTCCTTACATTTCTGAAAAAGCACTTGAACACTAAATAGGGCCTCTCTTGTGCCAACGGCATTCACAAATCCAAACAAGAGATGACTCATCAAGCCTATTGTTCTAAAATCACCACAAGTTTTCGCATTTGCTTGTTTGGGGAGTGTGATGAATTCCGACTTCAACCATTCTGCTGGAATTTTTCCTTGAACGGATGTTGTTAAATATTCTAGTTAACCAATTTGTTTTATTCTCATTCAGTTGTTTTATGAACTCACCTTCAGCTGTCTGTTGTTTCTTGCGTGCATCATCTAATAAATTCTCCAGATATGTTTTCCAGATCTCCTTTTTCCTCTCAGTGTCAATCATGATTTCTCCTGCTTTGTTTACCAAGACTTTCCACTTGTTTTTCTTGCATTTCCCTGTTATTTCTCGGACTTTCTTGTGAACATTGAAGTCATCATCATCATTTTTCTAGAAGTTCCTATTCAGCCTTCAGTCTTCTTTCTTCGTTATCCAAGCAGATTAGAAGGCTGTATTGACGCTTCTGCGCCAACTCTGTTGATTTTCGGAGAAATCTAATATTATCCGGTGTTGCCAAATCACATTTAATTTCAATTTAAAAATTATGCCTAACATGGACCATATTCGTATGTATATTAATAAAATAACATTTTTAAGATATAGAGGGTCATAAAAAAAATGACGGGATAGAGAAAAAAATATGGCGTTTTTTGGAAAAAGGGCAAACAAATAAGCAAATAGCTTTCAAACATCAAAATCGCTGTAAAACTGTGTTATTCGAAAGTTCAAGACAAACGGCTAACTTTTTTTTCAGAACCCGTCACTCGAGCAGATCGCCAAGTGTCTATGGAAGGCCTTTAGCACCACGCATACTCGCATCCCGCATAAAAAATTCAAGCGTCGTCCGAAATACGTCCGTGTAAAATTTATTTATTTCTTGTGTACACTTACGGGCAAATTTTAACGCTACATCTTCTCGCTGAGGTCTACAGGGCGTCACAACGATTAATTAGATTTAACGAAATTTTCGACTCGAAGTTGAGATGATTTGTACCGTGCTTTCAATTTATCTTGATAACAATTTAATTGGCTGTAACTTTTTTGTTTTCAAAAATATCAATGCAAACGAAAAAACAAAATGTAGGGTTAGTAGGCAAGTGACGTACAAAACAAAACACTATCCATTTTCTGACATATAAGCCTACATCATATTTTTTTAAATGGAACACCCTGTATATTATATATGTGTTTAATAGAATATCTTATTCCGATTACAATGATGTAACACACTTTATATTTAAGTCCACTCATTTTTGACAAATCGGCAAAAATAGGAAATTTTTATATAATTCTAAAGGGTGCCCTGACTGACAAATAAAAATATATTTATGTTTGACATATTAGTAAACAACGTTGATGATTTAATTATTGTCCAACTCATTATTGTTAAAATGGGTTTTAGCATTCGTGAAACGAGTGATATGCTTCAAGTATACTTTCTGAATATTAAAAGCTCCTTGAGAACAGATATTTCCAAGGCTGGCAAAGAAATTTGCAGAAAATGGTAACGTCTGAAAACGTATGCCGGAATCATAATGTTCTAAATGAAGAAAATAAGGCAAACATATTAGGATTCTATGAAGCACATCTAGTTTTCTCTCTAAAGTATATCACTCAGTTTTGAAACAATACAGATATAAAGCATTTAAATTTCGTAAAACTTAAAAACTCAGTGCAGAACAATGTCAAAGGAGGATCCAGTTTTGTTTGGATATTTGAAATAGACATGATGAAAATAATATATTTTTTTTAAAACAATTTATAGATCGATGAAAGTTCGTTCATTACAAGAGCGAGAGTAATAGACAAAACACGCGATATTGGTCTTTAAATAATCCTAGAGAAATACACGACATAAAATACAAGGGGTACCAATCAATTAATGGATGGGGTGGTGTCATAGACGGGCATATTTTGGGTCCGATATTTATCGATCAAAAGTTAACTGGAGATCATTATTTGCAATTCTTAAAGCACCAAATAGAACAATATATAGAAGATTTGCCCCTAAATATATCAGCGCTGATTATATGGCAACAATACGGTGCCAATTCTCACAATGTTGTGCAGTTAAAAATGTTCCTCACATGGAATATCGCAGGGGTTCGATAGGGGACGGCGGAACTATGGATGGGCCAGCCAACAGCCCCGACTTAACTTTAATGGATTTTTTCTTTTTGGTACATATCAAAAATCACGTGCACAGAATTCGTTGTGATAATGTAGTGTAACTTGGGCAAAGGATTTTAGAGGCAATCAATCAATCAGTTAAGAGACAATCCGGAAACGTTAATTGCCCTATCCTCTTGGCTTGGCTCGATTTTATTATTATTTGCATTTCTGAAAAATTATACAGTTTTTGTTAATGACTGATTGACTAAGTGTAATACTATTACTGCACTAGACTAAGAATAAGCACAACATATTTGAACAAATGGATACAGAGCCTAGGTGAGTTGATTTTCGTAAATTCGAAATATACGGGACAATCTGTATATCCGACTCGATCCGAAAGCGTCTACATATCGAGGATGAGAAGGAAGTAGTTGGTATGGAGACGGCGTATAACTTTATTCATGTAACATGTCGTATGCAGGGTTATTTTTTGCATTTTTTGGTTAAATCTTGATCGATATCAGAGAACTGCGTACCCGCCTCGTATCTGTTTTTTTTATTTAAACAAAAAAAAGTCTTTTGGCATTCCGAAGTATTTGAATTTGAATTTCACACATTGAATGTAAACCATTTTGGGTCAAAGGTTGTTACGTAGAGAGCCAAAGTGACTCCAAAGTAATGTCCGCATTGAATATACTGGGTTATTCAAGATATTTTGGCACCCACCTACAATACAAATACAAAAGTTTGAAAATTTTTGCTCAGTCATCTTATGCAATTGCCAGAAAAAACAAACCACGATCGCAATCTGTCATTTTGACATCATTTTATTTATATAGAATGCCCTATATATTATAAGCTTAGATGGTAGATTTTCTTTTCCTGATTTTTTCGAGATATTTCAGTTTAAAAATAATTATCATTCGATTTCTGGAATTATTTAAATATATTTTTCATCAAGATGGCGCACCTCTACATAATGTCCAACCGATTACCGATTATCTTAATAATAAATATAGACTCTGGATAGGTGGGCAAGGAACTATCAAATGGCCTGCCAACAGTGCCGACCTGAATCCTTGTG